GTTAGTAGGAATCGCATATCTCGTCCTTCAAGGGTATGGGGCTTTCTGGGTTTGGGCCTTCCGGGTGCATCTGGAATTCAGAAGGTCTAAGGGCAAACAAACAAAAGCCCAGAGAGCCCCATAATGCCCCATACCCCATCAGTTCGGAAGATACCGTCATTCGAAATTCGTTGACAGAAAGCCCCCTCCCTACCCCTACCACCACCCTCGAGGAATTCGGGGATCCTGGGATGGAGTGGCTTGCGCCCCGCCTTCCCCCCCCCCCACCCACCCCCTTCCATTCTGGACCCCTGAAACCCTAATCTTTTGCATTGATTTATTTGCCCTTTTTTGTTTTTATACATTCTAGCTCTGGCTTTGGGGGTTCGGGCGAAGAATTTAACTAGAACCACTACAACACACCCTCCCTTAGCCAAAGGCTCCTGCACATGCAGCATCTGCACTCAATCTATCGGCTGCAGCTTCTATCGTTTGCTCAGCGGTCTGTGTATTCACACATTCCCCGAAAACACACTACGGTCAGACAGTCAGATGGTCACAAAACTGCCAAGGGAACGGACCCCCCAAAGGTGGTGAGTTTGATTGTCTGACCACGCACCACTTCAATCTACTGAAATGTTGCTCCCTTATAAACATCAGCCTCCTAGACTCCTGTATACACCTCAACCCTAAAACCCTGCCCCCTTAAACTAACAGTCCTTAATGGGGATTATGGTACCCCTATTATCATCCCTAGTGAGGACTGTTAGTATAAGGGGCAACCATGAACCCTAAACCCTTCATGCTAATGGAAAGTAAAGTTCCATGCCATGGTAAAACAAACACGGCGTGGTTACAAAGTACGCCCGCTTGACGTGGTTACAACCTACCCTCCCTCTCGTAGGTTGTAACCACGTCAAGGGGGTGTACTTTGTAACCACGCCACGTTTCTTTTGCTACCACGACATGGAACTTTACAATTAACAAACCTGACACGGTTACAGCTGCCCTTCCTAAACCCCTAGCCGCCCCAAAACGCAGCCAAAAAGAACAAGGGTCTGGCCTCAGAACCCGGCCCTTTTCTTCGGTCCAGTGGCAGGTGACCACACCATCAAGCCTGGAGGCTCAGGTGATTAGGGTGTGGAGTTTAGGGTTCCGAGGGTTCAGGGTTCAGGGTTCAGGGTTTAGGGTTTAGGGTTTAGGGTTTAGGGTTTGGGGTTTGGGGTTTGGGGTTTAGGGTTTAGGGTTACGATCGCGTGCGACTGGCGCGAGTGTTCTCGAAGTCGGCAAGCCCACACACCCCCGTCAAGCCCCAAAGCCTTGCATCCCCAAATGGCCTGAAAACCCCAAACCCTGAACCCTAAACCCTAAACCCTGAAGCCCTAAACCCAAAACCAACTCGGCGCGCGGCCGCTGTCTGCAGTAGCTGTTAATGTAAGCACCTCAATTTGCTTCAACACAGGACAGCGGTCCATGATTCGGGGGTTTAGGTTGAGGGTTGAGGGTTGAGGGTTGAGGGTTTAGGGTTTAGGGTTTAGGGTTTAGGGTTTAGGGTTTAGGGTTTAGGGTTTAGGGTTTAGGGTTTAGGGTTTAGGGTTTAGGGTTTAGGGTTGGGGTTTAGGGTTTAGGGTTCGGGGTTCGGGGTTTAGGGTTTCGGGTTGCTGCAAGTTGCCGTGGGTCTCCCGACAGTACGGCAAGCGAGGGGTCGTGCCGTATGAAAGGGTTGAGGGTTTAGGGTTTGGGGTTTAGGGTTTAGGGTTTAGGGTTTAGGGTTTAGGGTTTAATTAGTCTAGGGTTTAGTCTAGGGTTTAGGGTTCAAGGTAGATCCCGCGAACGCCCTGAACCTCTTCAGCCTCGTAAATCCCACTTCCAAACCCTAAACCCTCAACATCCTCTACAATACCTCTAAACCCGAAACCCCTGCGGCGGCCCTAAGCGCGTTAGGTGTTAGTGGGGCTTCTGGGGGGGCTTTCAGGATGTGGGGGGGGGGGGGGGGGGGAGGGAGGGTTCGGCAACTTGGGCTTTGCGGGAGCCTTCCACAATCACCAGCCCAACCCCCAACACAGAGCCCTTCAGGGCTCAGATTGTAAGGGGAGATGGGGCTCTCCTTCAAGGCTGTCCTGAGGAATGCCATGGCACACTGTGCCGCCTCGGGTTCGGCAGAGCACATCCAGCCGACACGGAGGCGTGGGGGGAGCCGACAATGGGCTACGACTTGGGTTTAGGGTTTAGGGTTTAGGGTTTAGGGTTTAGGGTATAGGGTTTAGGGTTTAGGGTTTAGGGTTTGACGGTTACTGGCTGGGAGTTGGGTTGTTCAAGGCTCTAGATTCCGGGGTCTCGTAGAGGCTTTGCTCACTGAAGCAACTTGGAGTGCCAAAACACGCTGGCTATATCTCACCACGGAGAACGTTTGCTGGTGGACTTTGCTTGTGGGTGGCTGACATACCCTAAACCCTAAACCCTAAACCCTAAACCCTGCGGGTGGGTCATTTTGGAGTGGACGGACTTCCGAGAAATGCTCCCAGGGCGCGGTTGCAAGGCTGGGTGAAAGGGGGGGGAACGCTATGGCCGATAGGGCTCGAAAACCTGGGGTATAAGCTTTATAGGGACTCCCCGGATTCCCCGGATTCCCCGGACACCCAACTACCCAAGAACAAGACATATGGACCATTCGGGCATACGACCCCGAAGCTCTCAACCCCAAATCCTAAGCCTAGAACCCCAAATCCTAAGCCTAGAACGCGTAGCCACTGGAAGGCAACTGTGATTAGCGTACCTCCCTCATGCAATGCCTGCAGATAGAGTAGAGAGCATCCTCAACCCCATGCCCCCAAAAGCCCTGCAAGCCCGGCAACACCTAATCCTCCACGTGTATCAACCCTATGACCCTTTACGGTAAACCAAGCAAAGCCCAAAGTTCCTACAAGAACGACTACTCACTGCTCACCTCCTGAAGCAGCACGAAAGCGAGAAGAAAGCCCCATAAGCCCGAAAAATGCATGCGCGGTCCTTTTTCAACGAAACCCCAAAGAAGCCCCTTCAACCATGGGCTTGTAGAAACCCCAAACCCCACGCCCCACACCCGAAACCCGATTTGTTTTGCGCGGCTCCTGACCAAGTCGAGGCTAAAGGGCTTGTGCCAAAAGACCGGGTTGCTGTGGAGGGGTCCTGCAGAGTTTTTCGGGGGTTTGGGTCTGGGGATATGTGGGGTTCCAGGTTTCCGGTTCAGGCTTGAGCTGTCTGTCGATCTTCTAGTATCCCGTCGGGACTGCGTGTTTGGGTTCTCGGATTTGGGTTTGGTGTCGGGCATAGGGTCTGTGATTTTTAGGGGCCCATACGGGACTTGGGATGTAGAGTTCCTGGAAACGCTAAGGGTTCAGAATCTAGGGTGAGGGGGTTGAGGGTTCAGCGTTTGAAGGAAGTAGTAGGTTCCTTCCCGCAGCAACAACCCTAAGGCAAGCGGGTGGGCACTCTCAAAGCCTGCTGTAGGGTGGTGGCTGTCAATGGTTTGTGGTTCTGGGGAGAACCGAGCCTAACCCTAAACCCTAAACCCTAAACCCTAAACCCTCAACCCTAAACCCTAAACCCTAAACCCTCCCCAGTGCGTCCACCCCTAAGGCGAGGCAGGGTGTACGGCCAGTGTAGGGTGAAAAACTTGGGCTTTGGGGTTCCCTAAACCCTCAACCCTTAACCCCAAACCCTAAACCCTAAAACCCTGAACCCTAAATCCTAGCCCTAAACCCTTTGTAGGGCTTTGGACTTTTCAGGCTTCAGGCGTCGGGTCAGCTTTAAAGCGATGCCCACCCTAGATCCACCTGTCAACGTCCTGCCGCGCACGACCCAGCGGACTGGGTCTTTCATTTCCACACCGAACCTCACCCCTAAAAAAACCTTAGACCCTGAACCCTCACCTAACCTCAAAAACCGTAAAAACCCAAATAAACTCTTAGACCCTGAACCCTAAGGCCCACAACCGAAAAAACCCTGAGGTTCGAGACTGCCGGGCCGCGGATTGAAGGAAGTTTCTGGGCCTTCCAGGCCTAAACCCTAAACCCTAAACCCTAAACCCTAAACCCTAAACCCTAAACCCTAAACCCTAACTCCTAAACTCCTAAACTCCTAAACCCTAAACCCTAAACGTCTACAAACTCCAAGTCAAAACGGACTCGACAAAAACGGGAGCCCAGGTCTGCCCAGCTCGACCGGTTGAAGGTTTAGGGTTTCGGGTTTAGGGTTTAGGGTTTAGGGTTTAGGGTTTAGGGTTATTTCCAAGAAAAACCGTAGTACCTCAAAAATAGCCCCAAGTACGAACATCCTTATCGTACCCCACAAAGGGTACGACTAGTTTGGGCAACCCCCACATGTAAGGAAGATCCCTGTGTAGCTTGAGACAGGCGGGGTCAGGGATTTCGGGGGCATGATTTGCAGCTCTTACCCCATAACCCTGGAGCTGCCGCACATGACTTCACACGTCAAATCAAGGTGGGTCTTGCGACTCATAAGGAATCCGGGGGCAGACCGCGGACTCCCGCCTAAGAGAGGAACCGCAGGAGATTCGCAGGCTCACTCTGTGATCGGTGGGCTCAACACCCAAGGTCCAGTTCAGGGTCCAAGGCTGAGGGTTGAGTTTCATGAACGCGCCCACCAGCGAAAGGCTGCGGCAGCTTCCTGCAGTTCCTAGACGACGTTGCTCCATGCAGGTGGGTCCCGAAACAGGGGTCCCAACCTCCAGAGGGTCAGGGTCTTGTGCCTAAGGCTTAACTCAGGTTAGGAGCCCAGGCTTCCGTTCAGGCTTTCCATGTGCTTTTGGTGCGCTCAGTGGCTTAGGCTTCATGCTTAGGGTTCCGGTCTGAGATTTATGCCAAGTCCTGCTCCCCAAAAACCGAAGAAGTACATGGCAATCCACGTCTTAAGTAGAGCAGAGTGCTGCACCTAAAAGAAGCCGCATGGTTGCGACCTGCCCTGGGGAACACCTGCATGGGCAGCAAACTTCCTGCAGGCTGCTGGTGGCTGTCGAAGTGTCATGCGCGGGCTGACGAGGAAGGGGTTGGGATGGCTAGCAGGGGAACAAAAACGATTGCCTCTAACCCCCGATGTAGTTTTTTCAGGGTCGGGCTGTCGAGCCTGCGTGCATCTGGGTTTTCGGCCAGGATTCGGCCACGATGGCAACAAGCACTTTCGGGCGCGCAAGCCTGCACGGAGTCAGGCGCATGGTCTTGCTGTTCATGATTCTTTTTCAATCCCTGAACCAGAAGCAGCAGCTGCAGAAGAAACGACAAGCTGCGCTCGTCGGCTTCAGCACGTGGCAGGGGACTGGCCACAATGGACAGCGGTCGCATGTGACGACTGCTGGCCAAGAGCACTGTGTTGCGAAGATGGGGGAGCTTTAACAACCTACTGCAGGAGCAGCTCAAGGGACTCTGCTATGAGACCTAAACCTCGGCCTCCCACACCCTGACTCTCACTGCCTCACCAGAGGCTGTGTGGCTTTCGGCCCTGCCAGAAACGCACGGAAACTTCTGCCGGGGCAAAGCCCCTAGGAGCACAGGCGAGCTGAAGTCGGTCAATCTGGGAAGTGGTGAAGCTTCAATTGAACCCCAAAGCCCCCGAAACCTGAATTTCTCAAAAGTTTATAGGTTTAGGCCTTGACACGCAAAACACAGGGCTAAGCATGACCCAATCGGCTGTCTCAAGGAAGGACTGCAGCTCAGAAATCACTTTGGGGGTTGGGTGAAGAGCGGCGACCTCCATCAGTGCGGGGTGAGCTGGTGCTCTGCAACGGGGGGGCCGGGCGAAAAAACACTGTAGGTTCGGGGTGCCTGGGGGCTTCGAGATGTGTGCTGAAAGGTTGACTTAGGGGCCCAGTAGGGTCCGGACAGCCCGTTCCCCCCTTCGCCCCCTCTCTACCTTCAAGCATACTCCCCTTAGAAGCATCCTTCAACCCTTTACCAAGTAGTTTTGTCAAAGATCCTGACATGAACAAAAGCCTCCGAAACAGACCGTAGAGTGTAAAGTGCCTACAGATCCTAAACCGCGCTAGCTGCTGATGTTGGTCTCTCTCTCTCTCTCTCTCTCTCTGTGTTTGATACTGCAAGAAGCTTCTTTTGCTGTTGAGTGCTGTGCTACTTCAGCGGTTCTTGCCGCCCAGGGGTTGGGGCTGGGGGCCTTCAAGGATTGGCATCTGGGTCTTGGGGACAAGCACCGGTACAGCCTGAACCCTGAACCCTGAGCCCTAAACCCTAAACCCTAAACCCTATACCCTAAACCCTGAACCCGAAACACCAAACCAGGCTCTGGAAGCACCTCAAGTGGCCAGCGCGCTTGAGGAGCTACTGCTGTCGAGGGTACCTCATGGCTTGCCAAGTTGGGGAGCTGAGCCCTCCAGCCGCCGGGTTGAGGGATTCTAGGGTCGGGGGTTTAGCGTTTAGGGTTTAGGGTTTAGGGTTTAGGGTTTAGGGTTCAGGGTTTAGGGTTTTAAGGGGATACTGGGTTGATGTGAGTTTGGAGTTCAGGTTTGCGGCGACGCCTGAACCCCTCGACCCCCCCGCAACCCTCAATCCCCAACCCTCAATCCCAAACCCCAAACCCCCAACCCAAATCCTAAACACCAACATGCGGGGGATTCAGAAATTAGGGGGTGCCTTATTGGGTCCTTATTCTAAGGGGATCCCACTATCTGGGGTCCGTAAATATTGGGGGTCCCTGCTTGGAGGTTTGTGGTACTTATTAAGCAATTATAACTGGACTTATAACTGTACTTATAACCATATTAAGGCACTTAAGGGGCTTATAAGTGGGTTATAAGTGCAGGTTAGTAAGTACCATGAACCTCCAAGTATTTTCGGGGTCCATATACCCTAAACCCTAATCCCTAAACCCTAAACCCCTAACTCCTAAACCCTAAACCCTAAACCCCATACTCCAAGCTCTGCCAAGCGTCATCCCCTGCTGCATCATGGGCCCAGGGCCGCCATCCCCCTCACCGGAGACGCTGCTTCAGGGGCTGCTCTTCGTTGAGGGTCTAGGGTTTAGGGTTTAGGGTTTAGGGTTTAGGGTTTAGGGTTTAGGGTTTAGGGTTTAGGGCGAGGGCTCACTTTGGATTCAGGGGTTTAAGGCCCTACTATGGAGTGGAGGGGATTCATCTCGATCAACCTGGCTCGGACCAGGAGTCCATCCGAGAGTCCATCCGGCGGTCTCCAAGTATAACTGTGCTTAGAAGGACCCAGGTTTAGGGTTTAGGGTTTAGGGTTTTGGGTTCAGGGTTCAGGGTCTAGGGTTGAGGGTCTAGGGTTTAGGGTTTAGGGTTTAGGGGTTTCGGTTCTAAGTACACCAATAGTTCGGGTTCTAAGTACCCATGAACCTCCAAGCTAACCCAGACTGCTAATCTTCCGAAGCCCTTGCAAAGCCTCTGTCGCCTGAAAGCCCTGAAAGGTTTAGGGTTTAGGGTTCAGGGTTCAGGGTTTAAGGTTTAGGGTTTAGGGTTTAGGGTTTAGGGTTTCTTCACATGTACAGGTGTCCAGGTTGGGGGGGGGGTTGAATCCTGCTGAACCCTGAACCCGAGACCCTAAAACCCCAAACCCTAAACCCCAAACGTACCCTAAACCCTAAACCCTAAACCCTAAACCCTAAACCCTAAACCCTAAACCCTAAACCCTAAACCCCAAGGCTTGGCCCGGTTTGCGCCTGCGGCGGCCCACCCGGCGGGCCCCCCTGCGGGGGCATCTGCTGGCCCTGCATCATGAAGCCTGCCTGGGTCGGTCTTTATTATTATTATTGTTATTGTTATTATTATTATTAATGGTTTTCGGGGCATGGGGTTTCGGGTTTGGGGTTTGGGGTTTTGGGTTCGGGTTGCCGGGTTGTAGGTTTTTAGGGTTGAGCGTTTGAGGCTTCGGGTTTAGGAGCTGGGGTTTGGGGTTTGGGGGTAGGGCGTGAGTTAGGGTTTCAGGGTTGAGGGATTTCAAGGGCCTTTGCGGCTTTGGGGAGTTTGGTCGGGTTTAGGGTCGAAGGTGCCCAGTGTAAGTTTCAGCGCGTGGAGGGCCGACAACCTTTGGGGGAGGGTTCCGGGTTGAAGGACCCGGTTTTTCTAAAAAGTTGCATGGCGCCAAAGGGCCCAGAGTCCAGCGCTGAACCCTGAGCCAAGAGTCCAATTATGCTCGACTTGGAGCTTCATGGGTATTTATATTATAGGGTTGTAGGGTAGCCATGGTGACTTAGTGTACTTCTACCCCCACTCGCAAGCACCCATGAACCTTCGAGTAGCGGTTTGGAGTGCCAAGAAGGGGAAGGGCCGTCGTCTCCCGGCCTGCCCGTTGCCGTATTGGCCCGTGTTGGCAAGCATCATTGGCACCACCTGGGCATGCGGAGCGCAAGGGTTTTGGGGGGCTCAGGGTTTAGGGTTGAGGGTTGAGGGTTTAGGGTTTAGGGGTTAGGGGTTAGGGGTTAGGGGTTTGGGGTTAGGGGTTAGGGTTTAGGGTTTAGGGTTTATGGGGGGGAGGTTCGAGCCTTAGGGCCATCCGCTCTCCGAAGCTCTGGCATGGGCCGAAGTAGCCCTAAACCCTAAACCCTAAACCCTAAACCCTAAACCTCTGAGGAGTGGCACGACCATCTGCTGCTGCGGTCCACCGAACTTCGGCATGGCGCCCCCGGTCACACCTTCGGGCTTTGAGTGCTTTGGGTTTAGGGTTCAGGGTTTCGGGTTTACTGTAGGGTTTAGGGTTTAGGGTTTAGGGTTAGGGTTTAGGGTTTAGGGTTTAGGGTTTAGGGTTTAGGGTTAAGGGTTTAGGGTTTGGGGTTTGGGGTTTGGGGTTTGGGGTTTGGGGTTTAGGGTTTAGGGTTTAGGGGGGTGTTTAGGCTGGAGCGTTCCCCCTTATACGAACAGTCCTTAATAGGGATGTTACTTAATAGGGATGAGAAGAGGGCGTACTCTTAATCCCTAGAAAGGACTGGTAGTATAAGGGCGGAACATCCCAAGCTTTAGGGTTTAAGAGGTTACTCTTTTTTGGGTCTTGAGTTGGCCACCTGCAGAGTGCTGGGGATGGGGGTTTAGGGTTTAGGGTTTTGGGTTTAGGGTTTGGGGTTTGGGGTTTGGGGTTTGGGGTTTGGGGCTTAGGGTTTAGGAGGGTTTGGGGTTTAGGGTCTGCATAAAGCGCCCCCCGCCCCCCCTCATGACTGTAAGCCCTAGCGGCCAGACGGAGATCAGAACCAAGTGAATCAAAAGAAGAAACTCATCCCCACGCCGCCAGCCTAAACCCTAACCTCTAAACCCATAACCCTAAACCCTAGCCCGAAACCCTAAACCCTAAACCCTAAACCCTACTAACCCCAACCAGGCGCTTTTGTGTTTGGCGCTGAGTTCTGGCCTGCCATCTGCCCCTGCTGGTTCTGCAGCTGCATTGGCCTTGGCCGGCCAAGGGTTCGGGTTCCTCCCCTAAACCCTAAAAACTAAAAACCCTAAACCCTAAATCCTAAACCCTAAACCCCTATCCCTAAACCCTAAACCCTAAACCCGAAACCCTAAACTCTCCGCTTCGCAAGCTCCCAACCTACACTGAAGCACCCACACGCCTGCACTATCGTAGAGCGTTATGCGATCTAGTGGGAGACCTTCATAGGCCAGGGCTTGGGGATTCGGGTTGAAGGGCTTGGGCTTTTGTTTGTTTTATTGGGGGGTTGGGTGGAGGGGGGGGTGTTGAGTTCCGTTTACGGCTTGGGGTTGAGGAACTTCAGTTTGGGCGCGGCCTTGAACCCTCCAGGGATGGGATGCTTTTAGGGCTTCCTGGGATCATACTAGGGCCTGCTGCATCGGGAGGTCCAGACTCCTGATCTTGCGGCATGCTGTGGATCACGGAAGGCTTGGATTCACACTGCAGCCTGAAGCTGTACACCCAACATCAACGCGGGGAGTTGTCAGGGTTTCGGAGATTTGGCAGTCGACAGCAGGCGCCCGGGGTCCCCGCACCATGTTGACACCACCCTGGGGCATGCCTCCTGCCTGGTTGAAGACAATGGTTGGCTGCCTCAGAGCGCAAGGCTGATCCAAGGCAAGCGCATGGCTTCCAAGCAGGGGCCCCCAACTACCAGGACGGCCCTGAAAACGTCCTGAACATATTCCTGAACAAGATCCTCGTACACCCCCCTAAACCCTCAACCCTAAACCCCAATTAAGAGAAAATGTCGAATCTCCCAGCTTAAGATTCCTCGCTGCATGACCCCCCCTCTGAGACGGTGGCGCCATACCCTGTCCTTGGTGTGGCTGTCCTGCACAGTGGGGGGGGGGGGGGTGTAGGGTTTAGGGTTTAGGGTTTAGGGTTTAGGGTTTAGGGTTTAGGGTTTAGGG